CGACCACCTCCGCCTAGTCGATGATGCATCATCATAGCTTATAACAACAAGGTTTTGATTTTATTTAGAATTTGTGTTTTTCGTAAAATTGTCATCACTGGACTCAGACCCTTTCAAAACTCTTAACAACTGGGCAGTCCTTCTAACAAACATTTCTCGCAATCTTATAAAAATAAAACAACAAGGCGCATTTCATCACAAACCGACGTCAGCTCGAGGATCATTGCAAAACAGAGAATACTGAACAGTTGTTTCGTCCCTAGTGTACGAATCCTTAACACTATACATCAGGAATTAAAACACGGACCTTCAGTTTGGTGAATAAAAATAATTCTACAACTGAACAAAAAAGACAGCTACTGTGGACCTTTGTATTTCTGTTTTTAAGCATTGGTTTTTGTAGGGATTTTGTTTGATTGGTTGGAAGATTCCATCATGAGCTGACATCAGTTAGATAACCTTCAGAAAAACATCTGGGAGTTCTGTTTCATCCTACTTTGGGAATCTTCGGTAGTACGCACCCACCGCCAGCACTCGAACCCAGGACCTTCTGGTTAGAAGGCGAGCTAGCTCGTAGACCATTAAGCCACTGGGACCCTATCCAATGGCCAGCCCATGAATTCCAACTTCTGCCAATTCATGACATAGCGCGACCACTTCATAATGTCTTCTTCGATGAGTTACTGCCTCACCTTCATCCTTCTGTTTTTACTTTAGTTATGGTCTTTCCTATCTTCTCTTGATACTTCTATCACTACATCCTAGTGACACTCATATTGTGACTGCATACTCTATGTTTTAACTTAACAGTAAATTGACCTTGACATTGTTTTATTCCTTAAAAACCAAATAGGCGATCACTTGTATATTGTAATGGAATTATTGGAAGGTGTATCATTAACTGAACTACTGTTGTCTATGAAAGAGAAGAATACCTATTTCATTGAATCACGTGTATGGCACATATTTATTCAACTGATATTGGGAATACGTTATTTACATAAAGAAAAGAAAATATTACATCGAGATTTATCATCAAATAATATCATGATTAGTGAAGGCGATAAGGTAAAGTGAATAAATGTTTATACAGGTTATATTGATAAGCTTATTTATTCATTTTTTGGATGCAATCTTAGTAGTAGTAGTAGAGAGACAGACGGACGGATAGATGGACGGACAAACAGACGGCCATATAGATAGATAGACAGACAGACGGAAAGATGGATAGACAGATAGACATTATCAATATAACACCCAAAGTTACTCAATTATGGTTCGAATCGGAAGATACATTTGCATATCAAGTACAGGGTAATACGAAAAAAGGATAAATAAATAAATAAAATCATTAAGTTTCACATGAAAACATTTCTGTTGGCTTAATATCCTAGGAATTGAGCAAAATTTGCACTGTAAAAGATGTTCGAAGTGGAAAGGTTTCTTAATTAATAGTAGACATATTACAATGGTGCGATACGAAAAACATTTTGAACGGCCTGGCTCCATAGTGAAGATCAGATGGCAGACCAGAAAGAGTTAGCAACATGGAACTCTGTCAACGAACCAACCAAGAAACTTACTATTATTATTGTTCCCTTGGGTTCCTAGTGGAACATAGGGCTTCAACTGCACGTCTCCACTTGCTTCTGTCTTCTGCTGTACTTTTCACCTGCATCCATGTTAATCCATACTGTCTCAACTCCTCTTCACACGATCTCCTCCATGTCACCCTTGCACTGACGTCCCACTCGCCGCTTCCCTTTCGGGTTCCACTCGAGCTATGGCCTGACGCGCGATGTCACCCAGTGGCCTCCTCAGCGAGTGTCCAATCCATCTCCACTTTCTCCTGCATATTTGTTGGGCGATTGGTTCTTGTTTTGTTTGTTCCCATAGTTTCTTCTTGGTGATTCTTTCCGGCCATCTGATCTTGAGTATAGAGCGAAGACAGCTGTTGATAAAGGTCTGCAACCTGTTGGAAATATTCTTTGTGACACACTGGCCAAGTTTCTGATCCGTACAGAAGAACTGACTGACTTGACGTTTGTATTGAAAATCCGAATCACTTTGTTGTTGATGCTGAGTTGAGTGACAGCGGAAGATTTCCAGATTGGTTTCAGGTTGATGAATGTGTTTCTCGCCTTCCCGATTCTCGATTTGACATCTTCGTCCGTTCCTCCTGTAGTTGAGACAATGCTCCCTAGATAAGTGAATGAAGTAACCTCTTTCAAATCCCTCCCGTTGATGGTGATTGGCGCTGGATGTTGCTGCTATTGTTGTTGTTGGTTGGTTGGTTATTTTCATAACCCTCGTCTTGTCTGTGTTCACCTGGAGTCCTGTCTTTGTTGCTTCTTCGACCAGTTTATCGGTTTTCACTTGTAAGTCTTCGATTTTGTGTGATATCAAACATAAATCATCCGCAAAATCTAGGTCTTCCAGGTTCTTTAAGTCGGTTCAGGATATCCCTGTCTTCTCGTTTCCTACTGTCTGACGCATAATCCACTCCACCACAATTAGGAATATCATTGGTGGTAATAAGCACCCTTGTCTGACTCCTGTGTTTACTTCAAACGCCTCGCTGAGTTTTCTGTTGTTGATCACTTGACATGTGCCGTTTTCGTACAGCTGTTGAATAAGGTTGATAAATATTTGGGGTACTCCGTAGTACTCGAGTAGTTTTCAAATTACTTTGCGGTCAACGCTGTCGAAGGCCTTCTCAAAGTCTATAAAGTTGAGGTAGAGATTTGATTGCCATTCCATGCTTTGTTTGATGATGATGCGTTGAGTTGCAATTTGGTCAGAAGATGATTTGCCTTTCCTGAATCCAGCTTGTTCTGGTCGGAGTTCTGTATCCAGTCCGTTCTTTAATCTCTCCATTAACCAAGAAACTAACGTCTATCAAATATGCTGAAGAAAATGGAGATGGATCGTACATACATTGAGGAGATCAGTGAGTGATATCACGCACAAGGCAGATCTTCGAATGGAATGCGAGTGTGAAAAGGTGAACTGGGCGTCTAACGGTGACATGGAGGAGATCGTGTGAAGAGGGTATGAAAGCCTACGGGTAGTCTTGAATAAGGTTTTTTTATTCTGATAATATTTCGAGCAAAACTACTACTACTACTAAACGATCACGGCAATAGTTAGAATTTTTTTATTTATTCCGAAATGAATAACATCCTGGATGTTTGAGTGTAACTTTATTTATTTTGAATTGATTCACCTATTAAAAAGTAATAGGGATATTTTTCTGAAGTGAGAACTCCATTGAGACTGACTGAATTATTCATTCTAAATCAAGCGAAAACCGACAAACTGGTCAAAAAGGCAGCAAAGACAGGGCTCCAGGTGAACATAGACAAGACAGAGGTTATGAAAATAACCGACCAACCAGCAACAACAATAGCAGCAACATCCAGCGCCGATCAACATGAACGGGAGGGATTTGAAAGAGGTTACTTCATTCACTTATCTAGGGAGCATTGTCTCAACTACAGGAGGAACGGACGAAGATGTCAAATCGAGAATCGGGAAGGCGAGAAACACATTCATCAACCTGAAACCAATCTGGAAATCTTCCGCTGTCACTCAACTCAGCATCAACAACAAAGTGATTCGGATTTTCAATACAAACGTCAAGTCAGTCAGTTCTTCTGTACGGATCAGAAACTTGGCCAGTGTGTCACAAAGAATATTTCCAACAGGTTGCAGACCTTTATCAACAGCTGTCTTCGCTCTATACTCAAGATCAGATGGCCGGAAAGAATCACCAAGAAGAAACTATGGGAACAAACAAAACAAGAACCAATCGCCCAACAAATATGCAGGAGAAAGTGGAGATGGATTGGACACTCGCTGAGGAGGCCACTGGGTGACATCGCGCGTCAGGCCATAGCTCGAGTGGAACCCGAAAGGGAAGCGGCGAGTGGGACGTCAGTGCAAGGGTGACATGGAGGAGATCGTGTGAAGAGGAGTTGAGACAGTATGGATTAACATGGATGCAGGTGAAAAGTACAGCAGAAGACAGAAGCAAGTGGAGACGTGCAGTTGAAGCCCTATGTTCCACAAGGAACCCAAGGGAACAGTAATAATAATAAAACATGATATCAGTTTTGATATACTTCTGAAAATGTATTAAACGTTTCCGAGTGCTATTTTCGGGTCTCAGAATACCATCACTCACTAGCGAGTGCTGGTCCATCAATCTGACGAGTCCCTAGTTAGACGAAATGCACATCCCCCATTTCACTGCAAGTCAATAACCAACAAAAGATTAACACCAAAGTATTATTCAATGTGAAATAATTGTTTTTATCACCAAATTTTTTTCTATTTCAGGCTACTATAACAGATTTTGGTCTGGCGTATCACAAAAATTTTGGCTCATGTGAAACAAAATCCACTGTTGGTACACTGGTTTATGCTTGGTAATAATTTTTGCTTTTACATTATAAAATTTCCTCTTAAATCTTCCTGGGAGTTATCTTATGCATAAAATCAGTCATACTGACAATAAGTTGATGCGAATAAGAAAAGTCAAGCTGTTATTCATACTGTGTCAAATCGAAGTAAACCTATCTAATATGGAATTATACAGAGATTCCGTTGACTTTAGAGAAGGCTAGAATGTCTTATGATTGCATAAAAAGCAACATATCACTACACTATATTATTTTATTGGGTTCGGAGTGGAAACTAGGGTCTTAATACCACATCTGCACTTTGTGCTGCTCTCTGCAGTCCTATTGATATAAGTATAAAACTTGGGCAATGTGGTAGAGTGTAACTCCATTATGGATAAGATTTTATTTTGATAAATCACACAGTGTTATACAGTAATATTAACTGATGACCACGTTTCGGGCACAATTTATTGCCACCCGTAATCATATCAAGTTAATCACACAAGTTTTTCTTCCATTTATATACATGTGTGGAATTGACTAGATATTTGAATAAAAATCAATATGAGATAATGTACATTCAAAGATAATAATATGAGTGTTGTTGATCAAATGCAATTAGATGGGAAATAAGACGAGTGTTTCTATAGTCATAATAAGTAACTTGTTAGAATGTTGTGATGTGCTTAATTGAAATAGAATTTTGAGATTATTTATTATCCTCTTCTGATTTGAGTGGTGGTAATAATATCTTCCATATCTCTGGTATTTGCATTGAGTCATTTCTGTTGCATGTGTCGGGTGTAGATTTAATGAACCAGGCAGGATTCAGTAATCAATCTTTCTCTCCACCTACATAGATTAATTCTTAGAATCTTAACCCTCTCCCACCCTATTGTGTGGTTGTGTGTTATTGCATGTAATGGAATTGATGAGCTTTTTTCTAAATTACTTATCTTCTCGGGATCAACCATTCTTACCTTAGCTAAATTCTGATGTTCCGACAATCTGACTACCCCCGATGTAGCTGGTTCCATGATTCCCTATAAGCTGTCATCTCCTGCTCAAATGATCTCCACCATATTACACCCTGCCTTCACGTTCAACTTGCCTTTCCCTATTAACTTTTCACTCGAGGACCTGGCGCGTAATGTCACCCAACAGTCTTCTCGGCGTGTGTTCGATCCATCTCCATTTTCTTTGTTATATTTGTTGAGCAATAAATTCTTGATTGGTTCGTTCCCAGACTTTCTTGTTGCTAATTCTATCTTGCCTGCCATTTAGTCTTATTATGTATATTACTATATTATATTATTAGTGAAGTTCTATCATAACTTCTAGAGCATATTTGCATAGAACTGTGCGCTACTGATTGATTGTGATGCGTAGTTTTACACAACTTATTTCTACCAGTAGTGCTTGGTAACCAGATGAAAGTGATTTAAACACTGGGCGGTCGTTTCAGTTTTTTGGGGTCGAGTGCATCAGTGGTTCGTCTGGTTTTGAATCAGCTAAGACTGCCGAAACAATTCAAACCACCTGATTTTTGTTAAGCTACTTGGGTGAAATGGTGACACCATAAATGGAATTCACTATTCGCAAATTAGTTAGTTTGAACCGATTCGGTAATTAGTTTAAGGCACATAGGAAGGTGCAGACTTCCTGACTGGTTGGGGTCGTCGCGACGTTAAACACCAATGGCTGGAGACAGTTGGTGATATGGCTCGAAATCGTTCTCAATGGCTGGCGCAGATGCATCCACTCCTTGTGACTTATAATACCCAATAAAACTACATTGTTCTTCTATATTACTATTGTTTTTGCCTGGTATCTCTGTTTACTGTCTCTATTTTGCATTTGTTTTTATTTTCTTCCCTTACTTTCTGTGCTACATGGAAAGAGTGTGGCGACTCGAACTGCTGCACATCGGTGCGAAATCCTATGTTGAAACCAGTCAGTCAGTCAGATTCGGCTTTCTGGCCTGAAACAAACTGTCCAAACTGCTGCCGTCTGGTATTTAGATCACATCGATTTGGCTTGCAAGTACTAGTGGTCGATATGAAGTGGTGTGAAACTACTCACCACAATCAGTCAGTTGTATATAGTTCTATGCAAACACACTTGCTTCCTTGATCGCCGTTTATGGTATCAAGCAGATCACAGATTCTGTGATCCGAATAATTTGGTTTCCAAAGGAATCTATCGTGAAAATTCCACCTCCTGAAATGCATACATTCCAAATTGTGAATCTGAATCATAATTTCTAAAGAATGCACCTTTCAGAGCATTTAATGCAGCCAAAATGTTCTGCATATTCTCATCCTTAAAAAGGCTTATAAAAATCCTGATATCTATTCGACTAGTGGGATACCTTTCAAGTCATTTTGGATCTTGGAGTATGCGATATGCAAACCACACTAACTTTTCTTAATTACTCACAGGATGTTGCCACCGTGTATGATTACGGTCAATAAATTGTGCTTGAAATGTCATCAGTAAATATTATTGTACAATACTATGAGACATTATCAAAATAAGTTTTCTCCATAATGAGGAGTATACTCAACTACAGTTCCCAAGTTCTATTCTTATTTCAATGAGTAAAAATCTTACCATGAGACTCGCTCAGAATTCTGTATTCTGTTTAGATGCACTTTGCAGAATAAAGCTACTATTATGATGTTTTGGTGGTAGTAGAGTTGCTAACCTCATAACTAACATTCCTTTTTGCGTGGTCACTAACGGCTATTTAACTAGGCGTGGCATCAGTCAATGAAATCCACAACAGTCAGTTTAAGCCAACTAGCCACATAGGGAGGTGTAGACTTCCTGGTTGGGGTCCTCGGGACGTTAAACACCAACGACTGGAGACAGTTGCTGATATGGCTCAAAATCCTCGCTCTCAATGGCTGGCGCAGATGCATCCACTCCTTGTGACTTATAATACACAATAAAACTATATTGTTCTTCGAAATTACTATTCTTCTTGCCTGATATCTCTGTTTACTGTCTCTATTTTGCATTTGTTTTTATTTTCTTCTTCCTCTCTTGCTTTGTGTGGTGAGCGAAGTGTGATGACTGGGACTGCTGCACATAGTTGCAAAGTTCTATGTTGAAATCAGTCGGTTAGTCAGTAACTAGGCGTGGTTTAGTAGTGCGTTGTCCGATAATCAGACCCGTGTCTGTTGTGTCTGTCAAGTATACCTTACTACTAAATCACTTACACACTCCCACTTCCGGATGACTTTCTACATCATGTATGACATGTAAACGCCAGCTGCTGGATTTCCAATGGATACAGATACGTCTGCAGAGCAAATAAAGTCTCTTTAAGTTATCTGGTCGTAAGAAATTTAGAAAAATCACCTTTCATAAAGTTTAAAACATCAACCAGACTCTGTTGAATCATGAAAATTGCACTTTACTTTTATTCACCTTTTCTATAAATTGCATATTTTTCCTTTCCTAAACATTTTAGCCCTGAAATAGTTCAAAATTTACCTTACGATGAGGGTGCAGATATTTGGGCTTTAGGTTGTATTCTCTATCAAATGTGCACGTTCATATCACCATTTCAAGGCGAGTGTATTCTAAGCACTGCATCACGTATTGTTAAAGGTGAATATGAGTCAGTGAAAGTTAAATGTTCAAATCGATATTCTTATCTGATAGACGAAGTTATTCGAGCATGTCTTAATCCTGATCCCAGAAAAAGACCTGATATTATTGGTAAGTTGGCAAAATAGTTTTATACACCTTTCAAATAAATAATGCATTTCTTATGTTCAAGTTAAAACGTTGGGTAGTTCTTTGAGCTTTAAGTTTTAGTATCATTAGGGTGGAGTTTACGAACTGGGTTTGATAACCGCACACTCATTTTTCCCGCGTTTTCTGGGATTACCATCGGCTAACAAACGAATCGGGGATTAGGTGTGCGTTACCTAGAAGTTCAACTCGAACCTTGTAAGAGGAAATATGTGCATAGACAATCTAAATCCCTTGTTATCTACATAATTTTTGAAAATTATTGATTGTTATTCCGTCGGGTTCCGAGTGAAATATGGGGTTATAAACAGCATATCTCCACTTTGTCGTGTTCCCTTCAGCCCTGTTTAGCTGAATTCAGGATTAACCGTAAACTTGTATCTTTTCCTCACACATTCTCCTTCATATCACTGGTCAATACACGCACAACTCGTCGATTCACATTCGAGTTCGACTCAACAGCCTGATTGGCTCATGCTGTCACTCAACGGCCTCCTCAGCCTGTGTCCAGTCAATCTCCATTTCCTTCGCAATCTTTTTGGACGATTATTGTTATTATTATCGTTTAGAATTTCTTTATTCTGAGTAGTATAAAGACACTAGATCAGTTAATGAAATTTTCATGTTAACGAACATGTGTTGTCTCACAAAATAAAAGTACTTTAATTTTGAAACACTTTCTAATAGATGTCATATGTCGTATCATTGTTACCCCTTAACAAATTTCGTTAGATAAATGTAACAAAAATTTAGACGAATTAAAACATTTACATGAGATGCTCACTAGCGACAAGTCCTATTTAGGTGGGTAGTTAACTGGGGTTCTAGTGGGACGTCGTGACCAGTAGGGTGCAGCAGGTAGGGTGTGAGGACAAATACTCGCCGAAGACATTGGCTAGTGGTCGCGCTATGTCGTGAATTGGCAGAAGTTGGAATTCATTTACTGGCGATTGGATCGGCTCCCAATGACTATATGGTCTATGGGCTAGCTCACCTTGTAACCAAAAGGTTCCGGGTTCGAACGCTGTAAGTAGGTGCGTACCGTGAAGAGTCCCAAACTAGGACGAAACAGCTGTCTAATACTCCCAGGTGGTTTTCCAAAGTTTCTTTAACTGATGTCAGCTCATGATGAAATCCTGTAACCAATCAATCAAAATCCCTACAAGCCAATACTTGAATATCTTACAAGTTTATTTAAAGGTGTCACCGAAGTCAAACTCAAACACACAGTTGTATTGAACAAAATATAATCATTCCACTGTTGTTTGATGGTGTACTAGACACTTATATTCATTATTGTAATTGAAATAAACTACTTGTGATAAAATCACAACCACTTCAGGAGTAATTTTCTAAGTAATATACTTATGAATAATGATATTGATAATGTATTAATTGAAATTAAAACATGATTAATTGTATGCATTATTCATAAGTACATTTGGTTTCTGTAATTCAGAAATCCCTCCTCTCATATAATTACTTGATAACTATTTTCGGCATGATCTTCCTTATGGCTTCCAGTGATTATTCCAAAGAAGTGGAGCCAGTTACATAGGCCGTACAATTAGGCGTGTTTCTCGTCGAATTTCCGAACATCACCCTGCCTGGTTAAGCAAAGGTCAAACAAAATCTGTTCGCAGCGCTATTCTGGTGCATCTTGTGGAGATAGAACACAAGATTGACGTTAATCATGCTTTCAGGGTCATTTACCGCATACCTAAGAATCTTAATTTCGCTTTAAGAGTTCGACTTCTAAATATTGCTGAGGCTGTGGGGATTCATATTAATAAGCCTTATTTATGCATCCAAAAGAAGTTAGTTCAGCCATTATCCTAACCTTGGCCATCCAGGTTTGAATAATCCAGAATTTTTGTGCACTTTCCCTAATTTTAGTTGATATTCTATTTGCTATTATATCTTTATTATTATTATTATAATTTAAGCATCTTTAATGAACTGCAATAGCATTGACCATTCTTTACAAATCGATATTATTTAAAAAAACGCTAATATTGTTATTAACTACTAATTTAAAATATTCTGTGTATATAAAAATGTATACATATAATTGTAGAGCCTGGAAGAGGAATTTATCGAAAAGAATATTCTTTGCTCGATTATTTTGTGTTTTAAAGATGTCTGAATGAATATTTTTGCAATATTCCTCAGAAGTATTTATAAATGGTTATTAAGGTACTACATACCCTTTAAATTGATGTTCATTATTAGGCACACATACAATAGCAGATACCGGTATTTGTATGCGACTTTGACAAGGATTTTGCATACACTTTTGTGGTCTGATCAAATAGTTATCATGAATTTTCAAACCTGAGTAGCATCGTTTTAAATGAAGGCACTAGAGAGGAAGATATCAAAACCAGCCAAGATCAGGGAAGCTTATTGATAGGTGTTCATTGCTGTGTAATCAGTATGAAGATCCACTCAGCGCTTGGCACATGACACAAGATCCAATATCCTAACACTAACGTCAAGCCAATTAATCCTAAATATAGTTTACAGGCTTGACGCACACTTCAACAATTTACAGGTCCTAACAACCTGATGCAAACTAACACCAGCAGCTGTTCTTGCTTGGCAATAAATATCAGATGGTTGTCCATAGGGTATGAGCAACAAAGAATACTGATAGTCAGCTAACCTGCCAAAAACTCAAAACTAGCCCAACAAATATGCATAAGATAACGGAAATGGGTTGATCTAAGCCGTGAAAACTGCTGAGTGACATCACACGCCAGAAGTGGAGTGGGAAGCTATAAGTTGGGCGTGTATTTGAGCACGAAATGGTAGACGTCGTGTAAAAGGGGAGTGAGAGACTGTGGAAAATCATGGAACTGGTTGGGAGTAATGCCAGAGAACTGTTATTATATTATTATTGTATCCTTTAATTCCTACAGGAACATAGGGCTTCAGCCGTGCATCTCCATTGAGTTCGGTTCTCTGCTAGAGTCTTCACCTGGCCCCATGTCTGCCCACACGTTTTCATCTCTTATTAACATGACCTCCTCCAAGTCACCCTTGCACCGACGACCAACTCGCCGCTTCCCTTTCGGGTTCCACTCGAGCAATGGCTTGTCTAGTGATATCACTTGATGGTTTCCTCAGAGTATGGCCAATCCATCTCCATTTCTTCCTGCCTATTTGTTTCACAATCGGTTCCTACTGGGTTGGTTCGCTCCCAGAGATCCCTATTGCTGATCTTTTCTGGCCATCTGATCTTGAGTAGTATGGAGCGAAGACAACTGTTGATGAAAGTCTGTAGTTTGTTTGAGATGCTCTTTATGACGCGCAGTGCAAGTCTCTGATCCGTATGGCGAGTAGCACTGACTTCACATTTGAGTTGAAAATCCGGATCTAGGTGGAATGAAATGTGGTGCTAAAGCCCTATATTCCAATCGGAAACCGGAGAATGAATAATATGATTATAATAAGTGATTTTAGAGTGACCACAAACCATTATCATCAGTGGGAACTCCATCCTCACTCCCCACTGGATGGACCTAACCGGTCACAATTTCTCACTAGAACTTCATAAAGCTCCATCCTGTAGCAATTCACTAGCGAGCATCAGATTAATTTTCAAGAATTGGTTTATAGGGATTCTATTTGCTCCAGGTTAGGCCATTAATTGATATCACTTAAAGAACTATTGAAAACCGGTTGGGGGTACTGGACAGCTTTTTCATCCTAGTTTTTGGATTCATCGACAGTACGCACCCACTGGGTTTCGAACCTGGGACCTTCCAGATACAAGACAAGCTGATGCTAATACTCACTAGTGACTGGTCACAGAAAGAAGTTTCCTGGAGTTATAGTGAGGAGTCGTGACCAATGAGGTCCAGCCAGTTGGAAGTGAGGATGGAGTTCCCGCCGATGATATTGGTTGGTGGTCCCGCTAAATTCATGAACTGACCACTGAATCGAGTGTCAGTGGCTGAATGGTATACGAGCTAACTCGTTTTGCAACCAGAAAGTCCTGGGTTCGAACCCTCGTGGGTGTGTACTGACAAAAAGTCCCAAACTAGGATGGAAAAGCTGTCCAGTACTCCCAGATGGTTTTTAATGGTTCTCTAACTGATGTCAATCCACGGTCTAACCTGAAGCATATAGAATCCCGACAAACCAATTCTTGAAAATAATAACAATAAGGATTTTTCTGGACACATTTGTAATAAAAGCATTTAGATAAATTAAAACAGAAGAAATTTCCAATAGATTTGACCATTCTTGTGTAAACTCATCTTCTTCATCTTCTCTTCTGTCTTTTAGGTGTTGCTGCTTACCTGACTGACAATATTTTGTCCCACCTGGATGCTTCACATCTGAAGTGTTTAAAACTGAAAGGAAAATTGAAAGAATTTCAGAATACATTCATGTGTAACCTTTGCAGTTCTTCAAATACTTTCCAACAAAATCTAATTAAACTAGATAAAAATGAAACTAAAATTAATTCTGATAATTTGAGTAGTGTAAGTTCTGTTTATAAAGAGAATTGAAAATGTAAATGAGTATGTTAGTAATTGTTTATTATTATTGTTTCCTTTAGTCCTTAGAGGAACATAGGGCTTCAGGCTCACGTCTCCATTACATTCGGTTCTCCACCAACGTTTTCACCTGGCTCCACGTCTGCCCACATGCTTTCATCTCCCCTTCGCATGGCCTCCTCCATGTCACCCTCACACTGACGACCAACTCGCCACTTCCCATTTGGGTCCCACTCAAGCGATGGTCTGGTGTGTGATGTCACTTGATGGTTTATTTTCTCAGAGTATGGCCAATCCACCTCCATTTCTTTCTGTATATTTCTTGCACAATCGGTTCCTGCTGGTTTGCTTCGTTCCCAGAGATCCCTCCCCACTGCTGATCTTTTCTGGCCGACCATCTGATCTTGAGGGAAGTATTGAGCGAAGACAGCCATTGATGAAGGTCTGTAATTTGTTCGAAGTGGCCTTCGTGATGCGGCGCGGCACCAAGTCTCTGATGCATCCGTATAGTGGCACTGACTTCGCATTGGAGTTGGAAATCCACATCTTGTTTTTCATGTTGAGTGCTGTTGATCTCCACACAGACTTGAGAGTAATGAAAGCTTGCCTTGCTTTCCTAATCGTCGCTTTGATATTCTCGTCATTTCCGCCCACCTGTATTTGAAACGATGCTTCCCAGGTAGCTGGTAAGGGAGGTTGCTTCTTTGAGATTTCTCCCATTTCTGCTGGTTGTTGTCTGTTGTTGTTGCTGTTGCCATTGCTGTTGGTCAGGAATCTTCATCAACTCTGTTTTCTCTATGTTCACCCGAAGTCCTATCTTTGGCACTTCCTCTGTCAACTTGTTGCTTTTCACTTGCATATCTTCCAGATTGTGGGAAATCAGACATATATCATCGGCGAAGTCCAGATGCTCAAAGTTTGTTTGTGTAAGTGTTGTCACTATAAGCAAAATATTATGCAATTCAATAATAGTCAGAATACCTGAGTCGATCGCTTGTGATTAGTTAATACACTGCTTGAGAATAATAGTCATTATTTCACTCTCTGTTCAACTCTTGTGCAACGCCTGGCTTATTTAAAACATTAATGGCTATGTCAAGCTTGATCACAGATTAGTTTCAGCTAGAAAACCATTGGAAATCAGAGAATACAGGACAGCTATATCATCCTTGTTTGAGGTCCTTCAGCAGTATACATCCACTGGGGTTGGAATCCTGGATCGTACAATTACAAGGCAAGCTCTTTGACCATTCAGCTATTGGGACCCGATCCAATAGTCAATGTCTTCTAGCCTCTACGGATTCGGGATTTTAGCGCAACCATGAGAATCCTAAACTAGGACGAAACTGCTGTCCATTACTGCATAGTTTTCAATGGTTCTCTAACTGATATCAATCTATGATCAAACTTCAGGCAAATCAACTACATATGAATTCACTCTTGAAAGTTATGTCTATATTTGACTATAAATCTCAGGCCATAAACCATAAGTTTAGATGAATGATACAATATCTTGTCTTCTTTACACTGAAAGAAGTGTGATGGATTTCAGTATTTTTCATAATTAAGTAATTAGGTTCCCTGGGGTACTAGTGGGAAGTCGTGACCAGTAGGGTGCAGCACGTCGGATGTGAGGACAAATACTCGCCGAAGACATTGTCTAGCGGTCACACTATGTTGCGAATTGGCAGAAGTTGGAATTCATGGACTGGCGATTGGATCGGCACCCAGTGACTTAATGGTCTATGAGCTAGCTCACCTTGTAACTGGGAGGTGGTGGGTGCATACCGATTAAGAGTCTCAAGCTAGGATGAAACAGCTGTCCAGTAATCCTAGATGGTTTTCCAACGGTTCTCTAACTGATGTCAGCTCATGATAAAATCCTGTAACTAAGTAAACTTTTTAACCTATTTGCACAGTGAATTAGTAAGAGGTTTTTTTTCAGTACAAGCCATTCTTTCAGATAACAACTTGTATTTCTCACAAGTTGCCTAAATCATATATTTACAGGTAGTTTTTTATTGAAACTAGCTGTACAGTGACGAAAGTGCACACCTGGGATTGTCAAGATGTAACATATGACAGGATATCTACGTGAATTCAATAGACTCAGTCCTTATTCACCCAGAGAACACTACGCCTAAACGGTGTTCAATGTACTGAGGACAATAACAACAATTCGTCAGTTAGGCATTGTTCGTTTTGATGCTTTCTACGAGCAATAATAATATTAACAGAAATTTCGTTAGGCCAAATTCTCTTCCAGTCAAAAGTGTTTGATCACATTTCATGATATGCAGGCAAAGACTGATAATTAGTTGAAATTCTTGACGCGGTTAATTTTTTTTTACCACAGGCTATTTATTCGTAAAAGTGCGTTGGTGGTATAGCAGTTAGGACGCTCGCCGACCATGCATATGGTCCGGGGTTCGATTCCCGGTCGACGCACTCCTTTACCTCGCTAAGCCAGAAATAATACTGGTGAAGAGGAAAGGTTGGGCATGAGGCTAGCAATCCCATCCTTTAAAAATAAACACTGCTACAGAAACTTCAAGCCACTAGCTTGAAGCCCTATGTTCCACTGGGTAAGGAAATAAAAAAAAATTTATTCGTAAACTTTGAGTGATAAGGTTTTCGTTTCCAGTACTAAGTGATTACAGAGAGCCATCTAACATGGTGGCCACATTGCAAACTTGACTTAAAGAATTCAGTCTGTACCAAACAAAGAACCATACTCATGGTACTAGTCACCGACTAGTGTCCAATCAAAGTATTCAATACAGTCCTACAGGAGGTCAATCGCGAACCCGAATAGCTCAGTCGTAACGTCTCTGACGTCGGTTAGAATCTCAGAAGGGATATGAGTTCCTTCACGGTTGCAGATACGCCTTGCTGACGAGTGCCAAGTCGCACGAAACCTAGATCAAAGGCTACCTGCCGATTGCCTCCAACCATCTAATAAAAACAATTCACAGTGCACCACGATGGCAAGCCACCTAACATGGTAGCTGCATTGTAAACTTGACTAACAGAATTCCGTCTGCACCAAACGAACGCATGACATTATATACTACCTGGTGTCCAATCAAAGATTACAGCCTGAGCTATGGAAACCAATTATCCAAAATTTATGTAATTCAATCGATTAGTTTATTGTGTACAGAATATTATTCAGTGAAACAGTACCTTATTATTGTGTTTCATCAAATAAAGATGTCCAGCAGTGGAGTTAGTCTCTGTAACATTACCCAAAATTCTATTCTCATATCAGTCAAGTGCACCGAATTTCTCATTATTCCTATAATGAAGGATATATACATTTGATTACTTCGATAAGCATCAGGTTAGATCACGAAGTCATATCACTTCTAGTTTGGGACTCTTCAACATTATGCATCGATGAACCCACTGGGAATCAAACTGCAAAACCTATCAAATCCGTACAAAAAACCAGTTAGTGAAAATTTCGATAAGTGCAAAAAGTGTGCATTAAAATTAAGAGTCTTAAAGACTATATGTATTTATTACCTTAAACTACTTTACCCAATCTGAAACAATATCAGAGTTTTAATCAATATCATCATTATACTGTAAGGGAATGCATGGAAAACTAAACTGATAACATACAGAATACAGGAGTTTTCAAAAAAAGTGATAAAATAAATATTCACTGATTTTGATAATAGATTTGAAACAAAGATGAATGTTTAAAATATTAAATGAATAAATAACCTGATTTTCTAAACAGTAATATTTCTAAGAGGGTGAAAAAACATACGAAAGGAACATGTTAGAGTGATAATAGTGAATTAATTATGAAAGTAAGAGCAAACTAAAAGTAAAATTAAAAAATAAAACAATTTACAGAGAATGACTAGTGAAGAGGCTAAGACTATGGTAGAATAAGAGACTGGGAAAACTTTTCCGTATACACAGTTCGGGGTTGTATTGACGAATTGCCAACGCCTCCGTCAAACACAAATGCCGAAATCTGACGCCCTTTGTACCATTCAGCCTCACCTTGGAGATGATCTTGAAAGTCGACTGTGGTGCAGCTGCGTGGCTTGAGTCCACCGAGTGCTCGACAATTGAGCTAGTAACTGTTTTCCATTGTGCTTTTGCTATCCACGCCGGATAATGTTCAGCGATGTGAAGGACAAACTGCCACTTTGGGCCACTTCAATGTCTGTTTATAAATTCACTTGCTCCCGCGGAGCTGGTTTATTGGCCAAACGCATCTCTGAACATTATTCGGCGTAGTTAGCTAGAGGACAATGTAAGACAGGTACTAGCTGAATTCTCGAACACTTGGTAAACTCAAACCAGGTGGTTCCACTAGGGTCGTCTTTTGAAATTATCTACAAGGTGAGACCAAATGGTACAAAGGGCGTCAGATTTCGGCATTTGTGTTTGACGGAGGCGTTAGCAATTCGTCAATACAACCCCGAACTCTGTATACAGAAAAAATTTGTCCAGTCTCTTATTTTACCATGGTCTTAACCTCTTCACTAGTCGTTCCCTGTATATTTTTTATTTTTTAAAACTTTGCTTCTAGTTTGCTTATTAACTAATTAACTATTATCACTCTCATATGCTTCTTTTATAGATTTTCTCACCCTCTTCCCACTTGTTGAGCTGACACTCAACTACCTTTATTCTCACTCAATTGCTGCGCGGCAGTGACACAATGGTTAGGATGCTCACCAACCATGCACATGTTCCGGGGTTCGATCTCCGGCCGATGCACACCTGATATCAATGGTCGGCCTGGTGAATTCGGCCTACCGATATCAAATGCTGAAAATTCCATACTTGAACTGAAATACTATGTGGAATCAAATAACAATTTAAAAAAATTCAGATCATGTGGAGGTAAAGCTAAACTATGTGACAACATTGAAAGATTCTTCACTTTTGCAAGTATTCATTAAGTTGATTTTCACGTCTGTGATTTAATAGCAGACTACTCGCCAGCCACGATGAAGGTCTGAGTTCGACTTCCGACTGACCCACACCTAAACTTCACCTAGTTAACTAACTGGTAGTAAGCTTGAAAAGGAGGGAAGGTTGTGAGTGAGGCTAGCAACCTCATCTCGAGAAAAAAACACCACTGCTACTGAAATTTCAACGTTTGAAACCCTAAGCTTCCAGTGGAACGCAAGAAATGATCAGCCATTAAGAATAAACCAGTAATAAGGAACTTTGGCAGGCAGGTAACCAGTATTAACCTATTACCCAACAAATAAACGGAAGGAAATGGCGATGTATTGGACATATGCTGAGAAAACTATTTAATTGACATCACACGCCATGCAAGCCATGGAGTGGGACAGGAATGCGAAATGACTGCTTCAGCATGGTTCAGAGTGTGATATAGAAAAGACTATGCCAAGAGGGAATGAAAGCCAGTGGGCGTTCAGCAGGACAGTCTTAAGTGATTATAGCGAACCGAATGGAATGAAGATGTCCCATTGAAGCGCAAGGAATAACAACAATAACAAATAATACATGGTCTTATTTCGATTAGTAATCATGATGTGAATTTCATTCCCGGTGATTGATGACGAGACCCGAATCCAGTACCCTTCGTTTTGAACGCCGAAGCGTTATTCACTAGGCCATTGGGTTACAGAAGTCTGCCGGATAATGATTTGGTGTTTGATATTATGGGGTAGAGTCGGAATCTTAATTGAGACATGATCACTCACTGAAAATATAGGACGAGTCCAAAATGGGACGAAATAACACCACTGTTATTCTCCAGACATCGTCGAAGTGTCTTTAATGGGAGTCGACATGTTAACAGAGACTGAAGATCCTCATCCAACATAATCAATCAACTGGAAATGCGAATAAACTTTAACAACACATGGTTTGTTAATGTCTGTCTTGATAGTGCTTAGTCTTATATCACCCGATATGTATAAGTGTAGTTTTTTACCCTATGTAACGAATTTCGTAATGTTTTCTCTCTATCACTGTGTATTGATCTTAAAGCTTTTTAGCACATCCTCTTCAAACGGTGAAAAGTATATTTATTATTTTGACGTACTTACAGTTTGTATAAGGGATAAAATATATTTAAATGGCTACATTGAATATTCTTCGTTCATTGCCTCCCGAGGGAAAATATAGGGCTTGAGGCCTTAAAGTTCCAGTAGCGTTGGAGTTGTTTTCACGTGGTGAGGCTGCCAGTCTCACACCTGAGGTTCACTCTTTTCAAAACTTACCGTTGGCTAGTAACCTGCTCGAGATTTAAGGGTGTGGAGACAAGACAACGTGTATGGTTTGCAAGTGTCCCACCCTTGAGCCACCAATTTACATTGATAAATAGTGAATTAACTTTAAAATATAACTTTTTCTTGTAAAAAAAATGTTATATATTTATTAATTAATAATAATAATAATAAATATCAAAATATATATATATATTGATGATTATTAAAATCCGAATAAATCTGCTGAAGAAGCTGTGGCTTACACAGCGAAACGTTCAGAAAAATCTTGTTTTGATTTTCTTAACACGCTGGGATTAATTTAAATAATTTATAATGAATCAATCTGACTCGGCGCTCAAATTATTTCAGGAAGTTCGTAACACCTACGGCCTGGAAACCTATAATAATAACACACTGTTTTTTTACTTTCACAGGATGCAAAGATGACTTCAAATCCTGAAAGTAAGTTACCTGAATAATATTAATAATAATAATTTACCTTATTCCAAAACAGTACTTATGAAACATCAGGGAATTCTCAGCGTTTGGTATAATATTGCAAGTGATTTCCTCAAAACATGAGCATTACATGGCATAGGTAAACGAAACAGCTTTTTTGATTGGACACTAGTCAGTAACTAGTGTAATGTATGTGTGTCTAGTTCTATCTTTGATGCAAACTGAATTCTATCGGTCAAGTTTGCAATGTGGCCACCATGTTACGTGACTCACCATCACGATACATTGTGAATTGTTGGTATTAGATGGTTAGAGGCAATCAGCAGGTAGCCTCGGGCCTACATTTCGTGCTGGTTGGCACTTGCCGGCAAAGTATGTCTGCGACCATGAAGGTACTCATGTCGCTTTTGAGATTCAAACCCTTGAAACGTCTCTGACTGCAGCATTGGCTGACGTTCACCGAAACAATAAAGTCCTAGATGTGTGAAAAGTATAGATTGATAATAATAATAATTAAAGTTATAAAATAATGGAAATAGTGTCACCATTAATTAGAAATATGAGGTCAAAGATTTGTTTCTTCTGCTAATTACAAAGCAAGTTATAAATTTCAAGCCTAACGTTTTCTTTATCACATAGATTGTAGGTCAAATAGGATATCGGTAAATCTTCGCACTAAGTTTTACTAGCATGTAATCTTTTATAATGACTTCTTGTCGTCCCTGATGAACTGCAAGGGCAGAGTTGTGAATAAAGTGAATACTGAGAGCCAGAGAGTATGGATAAAGCCCATTTGTCATATGAGTTCAGATGTCTGTTGACTACAATAGCAACGAGCTGACATAGTGGAGCACCACTTGTTCTACTGAAAACCCTTAATACCCTTCGGAATATGACACAGTCCTTTTTGAATAGCCCAGGAAAGACTAAAGCGAGCAATACAGAACAATAAGTAAGATTAAAGAGTTAACAAACTGTAAAAGTAGAGGTTGAGTGATACTTGACTGTCTTAACTTCTTAATATATAGAAGGTTGTACGAAATATTTTTTCAGAAATCTTCATCATATGGTCCATATGATTTTTCCTTCTGACCTTTCTTGGTCGGACCGACCAAGAAAGGTCAGAAGGAAAAATCATTCCAAAGTATTTAATGCTGGTTGACTTATTTTCTATCTGGGTGTTCTTAATTCTACAAGAATCATGAGAACAGACCAGTTCTTGTAGATCACATTTGTGCTTTGAAGTGAAGTTTACTGTCTGACACCTGGAAGGATTTAAGATAAGATCATTTAACTTAGACCACTGCCTGATTTCCTACAGAAAGCTGTTCAGTTTGAAATAGTCAAATTGATAAGTAACTGGTAATGAGACAGTCAAATCAGCAGAATTTTAACCAAGATGACTTTGTCTGAAAGTGACAAGTCTTATAAGATGAAAGAAACAAGAAAAAGACACACAGAGAGACCATATACTTACCATATTTCTATTTTTTATCACTATAGTTACCTGATACAACTATTCTTTGAATAAATCCTTTTTTGGAGTCTCAGATTATTACTAAACTAAACTGTGTCCAAATTAACACCTTCATCTATGTGCATGCGATATGAATGCTGTTCCAACGCATGCTATTCGTCAACTCAAGTTCTGAATAGACAGTCAGAGCTAACCTCCTCTTTTCCGAATTTTCATCCTGTATTTATTTATTTCACTCTGTCTGTGAGTAATCGACTGATACGCTGTTGGATGGTTAATTACACCTTGTGTTCTACTAAAATATGGAAGTTAGAAGTTCTATTTTATAGGATAAAAATGCATACAGGTGAGCTGTTTATGCACATCATCAGTTATCTAATGACACTTTGAAAAACTGAAACATATCGCTTCACAGTACAGTTGAAAGCACAGGAAAAAACTTATGTTCAAAATGTTTAAACTTGACGGATAAAGTGAAAAATTTTATGTATTGATGCCAGGCTTTAATTTGACTAACCCTAACTCATTCCCAACCCAACTCAATCTCGGCTAACATTGCTCGTCAAGGAAGGCAGTGGCTGCGTATCCTAGCCATTTCAATCGATGTGGCTTCACAACCTCATTAGCTCATTTATCTTTCTTACCTGACATTCTACACCTAACCTCAATATTACTCACCATTTTATTTGTTTTACTCAGTAATTCGTATATTTTCTATATGCTTTTGCGTTCATTAGACCAAAGTGAACTGTCATACAGATTTCACACCCACTGTTTATAACATTTGAAGTGTTAATACAATTCTTTCACATATTAAACCATTTTGTCAAATTGCATTCAAACAATCTAGTTCATTTGTAATAACATATTTTTCAACCCTGTATACTCAACTTTCTTTTTTTTACTTCTCAATACATTTACTAGA